TATACTTACCATATATTGTTATTTCTTTATTTGTTTTATCTGTTTCCATAGGAATATTAAGTTCGGACTTTTGGTGATAATTTGCTTCAACAATATTCATATAATGAATATAACATAACTGTTGTCTGACTTTTAGATATGTGTAAAGCATATAGGTTTCATTTTCTTGTGCTTTTTTATAAGCTAAAGAAGTAAATTGACGAAAGCGGCCTATTTGTTTATTACAATTTTGTATAGAATACGGACCTTCATTTTTTTTTTTGCCATTGCGATATATGCAATAATTAAATATGATACAAAAAAAAATCACGTGTAATTATTTAACTAATCTAACCAATCAATCACAATCGATAATCTTCAGCCAATGATATCAAACTTTACCTATGCTCAGTAAAACCAACAAATTTTATAAGTAAAATTCTACCCCACGTGACCGGTGACATATAATGATCTTCCAGAAAATTTTTTCACCTCCACGTGACCTATAATTTTGGCCTAAATTAGGTTACACATTCAATACCAATAAACAATAAACTTTTGTCTTTAGCATATTTAGCATATTATGATAAGATATATTTTATTTTTATTCTTTGTTTAATTATTTTTTTTTTGTTTTTTTTTCATTGCTATTAAATCTTAAACAAACTTGTCAAAAGATATGTAATTAATAGAAAAGGAAACTTATTTTATAATATGCTCTTTATTAAAAGAAGTAAATTTAAAAACAAAGAAAATAACTTTTTTTTTATATAATAGATTGTATTACCATATATGTCAATTACTTAAAGAAAGAAAAAAAAATAATTGGTAAGTAATATATAGAGATGGGAAATTAACGGTTAATTAAGATTTGGTTAATTAACCGGTTAATTAACTGATAATTAACTGTTAATTAACCGTAATATAAATTTTAATTTTTATTTATCATTATCGCAATATTAAATGTTATCACAATATTACTTATTAAACAGAAATTTATTATTTCAAATAGCTATATATTGATATTGTTACAATAAATTTATTACATTTGATTCAAA